TTAGAGATGAGACGGAGTTGGTAGAAACTAGATCTAACTACAGCAGACACTTGTTTATCGAGTTTGAACGAGCTGTCAAGCAACACGTCCAGATTGCTAACAGTGTCAGAAAGGGAGCTGGTAAGGGAACCAAAGGCATCACGAAGTTAGCCACGAGGAATGTTGCTGCCAAATACCACGATTTCAGTTTTCTTATCATTTAGGATAAGAGAGTTTGCTAGGAGCCATTCTTTGACCTCGCGCTTGCACTCCATAACGCGGCAAATCTCCATTAACGAGCTACCGCGGATCGCCCCGTGCGTGGGGCTGGACAGCGTCAACACGTTAACGAGCAAACTGTGCTAACGCACTAGTTCCCACCAATGTAATTGAGCATCGCGTGGCACATCTGATATACTGTTTTACTTTTTTCCATGACGCGCTTACCTTCAGGGTCATACGTCACATGAAAACCAAAATAGTTCCAAACGCCAGATCTGAATGAGGGTGGGGGAGGTTCAATTTCAGGTAGCGTTGAGGCAGTTGCCATGTTGCAACGAGCTTAGCTTCTGTCTTGCTAGCTTGCGCTGCGCTCAGTGGATCTGCGCTCGACAGTGCAGCCTAGGCGGAGTAGTCGAACGCAGATCCACTGAGCTCTCAACACAGACAGCATCGTCAGAATAAAAGTTGATAAAATAAATTTAAAAATTTTGTATTGTTCGATACATATGCGTACCGAACCGAAAGCACTGTATTGAACAGCTCAATACCGATACATGTATTGTTGCACCCCTAATATATATATCTATATCTATATATATATATATAGATAGATAGATGATGTTCCTGGGATCTGCCGGAGCCACACTCACTTATATAAATGACGTAGGGTTGGTTAGCATGGTGGCCTAGCCTAGGGACGCTTAGTGGATACTAATGATGCGAAGAATCATGAACGGATCGTTCAATACTCGAGAATCACTTTTGAATCATTCATGAGTCAGTAACTCAACTCCAACTGACTCACTGACTCATCCCTCTTGCTGTTAGTTTCATTATTAGAAATATATCTAGCTTATAATTAAAATTGTGGAGAAAAACACAACATCCAGTATCTTAACAAAAACATTTCTGCTCTGAAATGGAAGAAAAAACCTGAGTAGAATCTCACATCAAGACAATAGCTCCTCGGTTCACAGTAGCATCGCTCTGCTAACATGCTAACAACACATTTGAGCTACTCACCCCCTCCCTTCCTGTGCTGATTTGTAGGGTACACGAATCACTCAGGACTCACTAACTCCTTCCCTTCCTTTTTTTTTTTTTTTTAAACACTTTATTTAAATATCAAATTCACAATTACAAATACACATAATACAAGCACCATGCACAAATTATTCACATCTTATTTTACATATTACAATAATAAAAGCTCCCACGGTAAGTCATTTCCTAATTTCATATCTCTCGTTTTTCTTCTTCTCAGCTCAGT